AGAGCCCGATGTGGGGCTCGAACCCACGAACCGCGAGATCATGACCTAAGCGAAAGTCGGACACTTGACCGACTAAGCCACCCAGGCGCCCCGGCATGATGTTTTTTATATGTGCTTTTCTGTCATTCTTTCTCCCTCAAAAAAATGCTGTTTCCCTCACTGCCTTGCCAAGTTCTGCCCCTTTTTCTAAATCTAGTTTAGATAAGACCCCCTCCAAAGAATATTTCTAGATGCTACAAGTTTTATCAATATCTCTTTTCAAAATCAGTTGGTAATTAGGGCATTTATTACATATTATATTATACTTTTTCATCGTATCATTCTCTGTTTCTTTTGTATTCTTTGTTTAGCCACATTATGAGATTTTTAAGAGAAACGTTTATTTCCTAATATTTGTTTTAGCCTATTACTAAATAATCACAGTAGGCTCAGTAAATACTTCTTGATTAAAATAGTATTGTTGACCAATTTTAGATATAAAGGTTAGATGAGCTAGACAAAACGGCACTCGATTTTATTTTTAAATAATCTCTACATCCAGTTTGGGATTCAAACCCACAACACTGAGATCAAGAGTTTCACACTCTGCTGACTGAGCCAGCCAGGTGCCCCAAAACAGCACTCTTTTTTTTTTTTTTTAAGGTATTTGAGAGAGGCAGAGGCAGTGAGTGGGGAAGGGGCAGAGAGAGAAGATGAGAGAATCCCAGTAGGTTCCATGCTGCCAGCGCAAAGCCCAGTGTGGGGCTTGAACTCACAAAACCATGAGATCATGACCTGAGCCGAAAACAGTAGTTGCACACTTAACTGAATGAGCCATCCATGCACCCCAAAATAGCACTCTTTTTTTTTTTTAATGTTTTATTTATTTCTAGGAGAGAGAGAGAGAGACAGCGTGAGCAGGGGAGGGTCAGAGAGAGAGGGAGTCACAGACTCTGAAACAGGCTCCAGGCTCTGAGCTGGCTGTCAGCACAGAGCCCGACGCGGGGCTCGAACCCACGAACAGCGACATCATGACCTAAGCGAAAGTTGGACGCTTAACCGACTAAGCCACCCAGGTGCCCCAAAACGGCACTCTTAAGAGATTATTTATTTAGATACATAAATCTGTTTTAGAAACTCAAACTCAGCCTTTTAAAAATATCTTATTCTTTTATTACAAACTTTACTAAAAATATAGATATCTATTGCTGCATAACATATCATCCCTAAATCCACTGGTTTAATAAAGAACATGTATTATCTAACAGTGTCTTTTGGTCAGAAATCTGGGCATGGCTTAGCTGAGTGACTGGCTCAAAGTTACTCATGAGGCTGCAGTTAGGGTGTCAGCTGGGGCTGCAGTCTCATCCTTAGGCCTAATTCAGGAGGATCTGCTTTCAAGATTATTTACATGGTTGGTGGCAAGATTGAGTTCTTCACAGGTTGTTGGACTGAGATCCTCAGTTCCTCACTAACTGTAGGCAGAGGCCTCCTTTTGTTCTATGCTATGCAGGCCTCTTCATAAGGCAATTCAGAACATGGCATCTGGCTTTCCTCAGAATGAGCAATTGGGAGAGCAGCATGACAAAAGCCACAATATTCAGTATTCTAATTTCAGAATTGATATTTATTTCATTTTTGTGTCCTATTTTATTCACAGTAAGTGTGTAAGTCCAATCCATACTTCAGGTAAGGGGATTTTACAAAGATGTGAATACTAAGAGACAGGAATTATTGAGGTCCATCTAAGAAGCTGACTACCTTAGCGAGGCTATTCTTCTCTTGTGCAGAAATCTTTCCTGCCCTCAGGAAAAGAGGAGTTGCGTCTCTGTGTCTTTCACAATAACTATTCTACTCTTAGCACCTAAGGGTTTTTTTTTTTTTAACCTATGATAGCATATTCAGGACCATTTAATATTGAATTCTAGGATGTTCTGCATCCTGACTTCACTAAAGTTTTATTTATTTATTATTTATTTTTAACATTTTATTTATTTTTTAAGATATTTTATTTATTTATTTTTTAAATGTTTATTTTTGAGAGATACAGAGAGTCAGAGCACAACCAGGAGAAGGGCAGAGAGAGACGGAGACACAGAATCCAAAGCAGGCTCCAGGCTCTGAGCTGCCAGCACAGAGCCCAACGCGGGGCTCCATCTCACAGACAGCGAGATCATGACCTGAACCCAAGTCCTACGCTTAGCTGACTGAGCCACCCAGGGGCCCCGTGACTCCACTAAAGTTTTAGTCAGGAACGCATATGCGGCCTTTTATCACGGTAAATACAGAACCTATGTATAAGATATAAGTATAGCAGTTATGTCCTCAATTATTTGAATAAATGATGTATAGAATTTGCTCAAAATATAGTTTTCAGTTAAATGCTACAAGAAATCCTCAACCTACAAATATACAACATGCCATATTTAGAAAGGACTCAAAAATATTTAAGTATACATTTCTGTGAATCAGTTAATTTAGTGCTTTTGGAGTTCTTGTACCGATGTGAAATAAAATCATTACTAATTAGATTTTGCTATCTTTTAGTTCTAATTAAAAGCATATACACACAAAAAGCCCAAGTAATAATATATTGATAATCATAGGAATCCTTTTTCAGAAATTCTTGATGTTATCAGAAATCTCTTGTTGAAAAGCTTAAAAGAATACTTGGTGCAGTCTTTAGAAGTTTATTTTGAATTAGAAAAGTAAAGCTTATATTTAAAACAGTTTTGGGGTGCCTGGCTGCCTCAGTTGCTAGAGCATATGACTGTTTATCTCAGGGTAGTGATTTGGGAGGCTAGGTGAGAAGTTGCTGCTATATATCACTGTTTATATCGAAATAAATTCCAGATAAGTTAAAGATTTAAACATTAAAAAAGACAAACATAAAATTACATGAAGAAAGCATACGTGGGGCACCTGGGTGGCTTAATCAGTTAAGTGTCTGACTTTGGCTCATGTCATGATCTTGCATTTCATGAGTTCGAGTACTGCATCAGGCTCTGTGCTGACAGCTCAGAGTCTGGAGCCTACTTCAGATTCTGTATCTCCCTCTCTCTCTGCCCCTCTTCCACTTACGCTCTCTCTCTCTAAAAAATAAACATTAAAAAAATTTTTTTTAAAAAGCGTATGTGAATATTTGTATATGCTTAATAGGTAAAGATCTTCCTAAACATGACATCCAACCAGAAGCCATAATAGAAGAATTTGACTATATCAAAATCAAATACTTATGGTAAAGAAAAAATAAAGAGCATCACCATAAAGTTAGAAGCCAAAATAGGGGAAAAAATATTTACTACACATGTAACAGGAAGTGTTCTAATTCCTCTAATGAAAAGAGTTTTTTACAGAAACAAACTCATAAATATAGAGAACAAACTGGTGGTTGCCAGAGGGGAAGGTAGTGAAGAGATGGGCAAAATGGGTGAAGGAAAGTGTAAGACACAGGCTTCCAGTTATAGAAGGAATAAGTCATGGGGGTGAAAGGTACAGCATAGGAAATATAGTCAGTGATATTGATATTGATTGTAATAGTGTTGTATAGTGACAGATGGTGGCTGCACTTGTGAGCATAGTGTAACATACAGAGTTGTTGAATCACTATACTGAACACGTGAAACAAATATAACATTGTGTATGAACTATACTTCAATTTTTTAAAAAGTCATTTTACTAAAAAATAGCTTATCATTCAATAAGAAAAAAATGACACTTGTCTAAATAGGCAATTTAAAGAAAAGATGTATATATAGTTAATAAGTAATTAAAAAGGCAAACATAGGTTAAAAATTTATTGCATATAATGGGGTACCTGAGTGGCTCAGTTGGGTAAGTGTCGGACTCTTGGTTTCGGCCCAGGGCATGATCTCATGGTTCTTGGGATTGAGCCGCCGCATCAAGCTCTGCACTGACAGTGTGGAGTCTGCTCGGGATTCTCTCTCCTCTCTCTCTCTCTCTCTCCCACTGCTCATGTGCACGCTTGCTCTCTCTCAAAAAATAAACTTTAAAAATTGTATATAGAAAAAGTTAATGCATATATTAAAATGGTGTTACATAGGGGCGCTTGGGTGGCTCAGTCGGTTAAGCGTCCGACTTCGGCTCAGGTCATGATCTCACGGTGCATAGGTTCAAGCCCCGTGTTGGGCTCTGTGCTGACAGCTAGCTCAGAACCCGGAGCCTATTTCGGATTAGGTGTCTCTCTCTCTGACCCTCCCCTGCTCACGCTCGTTCTCTTTCTCTCTCTCTCTCTCTCTCTCTCTCTCACAGAAATAAATAAAAAACATTTAAAAAAATTAAAAAAGATAAAATGGTGTTACATAGATTAAAAAGGTGCCACATATACTAAGTCATCCATATTTTAAAAAAATTTTTTTAATGTTTTATTTATTTCTGAGACAGACCGCATGAGCAGGGGAGAGTCAGAGAGAGAGGGAGACACAGAATTGGAAACAGGCTGCAGGCTCTGAGGTGGCTGTTAGCACAGAGTCCAACACAGGGCTCGAACCCACGAACCGTGAATTCATGACCTGAGCTGAAGTCGGACGCTCAGCCAACTGAGCCACCCAGGTGCCCCAGTCATACATATTTTTTAAAAGGAAGGGAAAAAAAGGTGGTAACAAATAAAAATACATACTTACAAATATATCAGTTTTTCAAATGCAAACAATATTTTGTATACTTATTACAATGGCAGATATTTAAAAGACTGATAATACCCATTCTTGAAAAAGTCACGAGGTAATAGTTTATATTATTGATAACAGTGAAACTTGACACAACCTTTTAGAGCTTTATTATAGTGACATGGAAAAATGCTCGAATATATTGTAAGGTGGAATAAAAAGGTTCAAAAGCACTATAGTATGTAATTTCAGACTATAGCAAACAGTTAACATTTTCTCTGAATAGAAGTGGGAGTTAATTTTTTGTCACTTATTTCTATAATTTATAATTAAAATCTATTAGCTTTGTAATGAGAAAGTATAAACAGGCAACTTCACAATTTCTTTTTGCAGGAGATTACATGCTTGATGCAAAGCCAAAAGAAATTTCAGAAATTCAACGTTTAAACTATGAGCAGGTAATAGACATAACTTTTGTTACATTAAGATGTGCAATTTTAACTTATGGATGTATTCATTGGTCTCTGTCAGTAGCTTTTTTTATATACAACCCTTTAAAAATGTAAAAACCATTGTTAGCTGACAGCCAGTTTTGGCCCATAGGCCATAACTTGTGTGGATATCTATTTTGTGTGAACATATGTGCTATATGAAATGAAACATAGATAATATTCTACAGACCTATGTAGAATGATAATCTGGTATTTTTCTTGAAAAAGTCACTTTCAGGGGCGCCTGGGCAGCTCAGTCAGTTAAGTGGCTGACTTCAGCTCAGGTCATGATCTCATGGTTAGTGAGTTCAAGCCCCACGTCAGGGTCTGTGCTGACAGCTCAGAGCCTGGAGCCTGCTTCCAATTCTGTGTGTGTCTCTCTCTGTCCCTCCCCTGCTCATGCTCTGTCTCTCTGTCTCTCAAAAAGAAAATAAAACGTTAAAAATTTTTTGAAAAAAGAAAAATTCACTTTCAAGTGAATTTATTTTTGATTCATCTTTCCTCATTTGTATTTTATACTTAAGTTATATTTGGGAGGAAGTTGAGTAAATGATGTCAGTGGTGTGTCATTAGGACAAAATCTGCTATACTGTAGTCTTCAGTGTGTCCACAGTTCTCGCATGTTCTTTAGAGATTTTGTTCTGTAAAATAGGAGAAGCTCAAAACTATTGGAGCTGGAAGGAAGCAAGCAGAACTTCATTTTCTTCAGTATTCCTCCTCTGTTTGACAATAGAAGGCAAGAAAGAATCAGGTTCTTCTAGAGGAAGGAATGATCAGCCAAGGAAGAAATAGACATCATTGGAACCTTTATATTTACTTTCAAAGCAACCTTTCTAACATGCTTTCATTGGTATCAAATTGGCAAAAAGGAAGCAAAATTCATTCAGTATTGCAAAACTTGAATTTAAATGATGGAATTATCTAGTCCTACTAGAATTGAAGAGCCTACATATTGCATTACTTCATTCTATAAAGTAGGAAATCTATAGCTAAAGCCCAATTGGTATGCTAAGTCACTTAAATTCTATTGGAGTTTGTAGTTTAAAGGAATTGTTTCCAAACTTTTTTTGTGGTAGAAAACTCTTCAAATGAAGTCTCATGCTAACCTCCAATATATAAAAGTGGTAAATGATATTTTATAAGTATAAAGTGATGATTCAATTTATATTATTTAGCAATTGTATAGAATTTCTTATTGAAGTCAGTGAAGCTCTTTTGAATATTACAGAAACTTGAAATTAGGAATTATAGTTGTAGTTTCATATCATCCTCAGAATTCATTTTACTACTGTTGCAGTCTTGAGAAAATCTTGATTAATGTGTATTTGCCAGTGATCTCAGCATTTTGTTTTCAAGTCCATCTTGTAGTCTCAGGAAACATTTCCATTAAGGTGATCAAGACTCTTGGAAAATGATTGGAATTAAAGTTTTGTTTCAAAGTTGAAACAATATCTAACAACCCACTTACGTTTCTTATGAGAACTACATGTCAGGTGAAAAATAACCCTGCATTTAAGATAAGCTCTTAAACTATTTATAAGGTATTATGATTACATTACCATTAGTTAAAAAAAAATTTTTTTAAATGTTTGTTTATTTTTGAGAGAGAGGCAGAGCATGAATGCAGGAGGAGCAGAGAGAGAAAGGGAGACACAGAATCCGAAGCAGGCTCCAGGCTTTGAGCTGCCAGCACAGGGCCCAAAGCAGGGCTTAAACTCATGAACTGGGAGATCATGACCTGAGTTGAAGTTGGACAGTCAACTGACTGAGCCACCCAGGCGGCCCATATTACCATTAGTTTTGAGAATAGCATGTACAAAGCTGATAAGGCTGAGTCTGAGCTCATGTTTAATGTTCCATAGTTGTGATTGAATAATTTTCTTTTTGAATAATTTTATGTGAGCAAAAATGTTTAAGCCTAAATTTGAGAGACACCAATGTAAGGCTGAAATCTTCCTAATTAAAACTTGTTTATCACAAGTAATAACATAAAAAGCATATCTTTTCCAGTTTTGCTTATTGATAGATACCCTGACAACACAAGAAAGCACTGTGTGTATGTGTGTGTGTGTGTATGAGAGGTTTTTAAATGACTGCAAATATATTTTTAAAATATATGTTAAATTTAAAATATTTCACCATGTCAGAAGTACCTTTGTGAAAAATTCTAAAGAATTAAAAAAAAACAGAACAATAGTTTAACCACTGGCTTAAAGGAACCAATAGTAATCCTTCCTTGTGATGTAAGTGATCATCCCAAGGATTTATATTATTATGATAATTCAGATTTAGGAACAAAATGGCAAAATACTTATCCTTTTTAGTTCTTTATTTATGAATATTCATTTTTATCAGTGTTATTAATCTTTATGGAGATTATCAAATGGTGTCTGATTTGTTATTTTATTTTATTTTTTAATATTTTTATTTATTTCGAGGAGAGAGAAAGAGAGAGCGTGAGCAGGGGAGGGCCAGAGAGAGAGGGAGACACAGACTCTGAAACAGGCTCCAGGCTCTGAGCTGGCAGTCAGCACAGAGCCTGACGTGGGGCTCGAACTCACGAACCGCGAGATCGTGACCTAAGCGAAAGTCGGACGCTCAACCGACTAAGCCACCCAGGTGCCCCTATTTTGTTATTTTAATACTACATAATTTATAAACAAATATAGAAGGTATATAAAAGTGTAAGCATGAGTCCAGGAGCTAAAGGAAATTGGGTGACTGGCAACAAAGAATTTAACAAATATAGAAGTAGTAGTAGAACTATAATCCTATAATTGCTCACTGTTATTACTATTCTTTTAGATTCATCATTGCTATCACTTTAGGAAAGTTTTACAACACTGAAGGGAAAAAATGTGAGCTGATTATTTTGAAGGGTTCAACTTTGGGGAAAATTGAAAAAAATATATTGTTTTGGGAGAACACAGTTGTTAGCAAAAGGTGAAAAAGCCAAAGTATATAACAGTGTTACTCTGTTATAAATTCTTCACTGATAAATTTGAAATTTGAAACATCTAAGTAATTTCTGTTTTCAGTTTGTACAGTCTCTTTGAATGGAATTTTATGTTATTTGGTAAAAGAGAATTGTGTTCTTTGACCTAATTTATCTTTTTCAGATTTCAAAGAGAATCCTTAGTTTTAACAGAAAAGGATTTTTTAAATGTTTATTTGAGAGAGAAAAAGTGTGAGTGGGCAGAGGGAGAGGGGGACAGAGGACCTGAGGTGGGCTCTTTGCTAACAGAGGCTCACATGGGGCCTGAACCCACGAACTGTGACACTATGACCAGAGCTGAAGTCAGATATTTAACCAACTGAGCTACCCGGGCACCCCATAAAATAATTTATTTTATGTTCACCTTTTCTACTATAAGGCCTCTGGTAGGCTATAGTCTTCTATTTTATATCTTGAATATATAGCACAATATCTGATTAACAGTAGGGATTCAATAAAATTATAGTAAATTTTATATATCGGAGGAGTTTTTTGTTTCATCAAATATATCCTCTATAAGTACAATTATATTTAATATATTAAAAATGTTTAGAAAAACATGTTTTAAAATATTCAGTATAGATTATGTGACTGTATTTACAAGAAAAACAGATACGGACAGAGTAACTTTTTAAATTGGCCAGCAAGTCCTTGTAGTCTGTCTTTTTCTGACTTCATCCCCCACTACTTTTTTTTATTATTAATTTTTTAAACATTTACAACCAAGGTAGTTAGCATATAGTGCAACAGTGATTTCAGGAGTAGATTCTTTAATGCCCCTTACCCATTTAGCCCATACCCCTTTCCACACCCCCTCCAGTAACCCTCTGTTTGTTCTCCATATTTAAGAGTCTCATGATTTTGTCCCCCTCCCTGTTTTTATATTATTTTTGCTTCCCTTCCCTATGTTCATCTGTTATGTATCTTGAAGTCCTCATATGAGTGAAGTCATGATATTTGTCTTCGACTAATTTCGCTTAGCATGATACCCTCTAGTTCCATCCATGTAGTTGCAAATGGCAAGATTTCATTCTTTTTGATTGCTGGGTAATACTCTATTGTATATATATACACCACATCTTCTTTATCCATTCATCCATCAATCGACATTTGGGCTCTTTCCATACTCTGGCTATTGTTAACAGTGCTGCTGTAAACATTGGGGTGCATGTGTCCCTTTGAAACAGCATACCTGTATCCCTCGGATAAATACCTAGTAGTGCAATTGCTGGGCTGTAGGGTAGTTTCATTTTTAATTTTTTGAGGAATCTCCATACTGTTTTCCAGAATGGCTGTACCAGTTTGCATTCCCACTAGCAAGGCAAAAGAGATCCTCTTTCTCCGCATCCTCGCCAACGTCTGTTGTTGCCCGGCTTGTTGATTTTAGCCATTCTGAAGGTGTGAAATGGTATCTCATTGTAGTTTTTATTTGTATTTCCCTGATGTTGAATGATGTTGAGCATCATTTTATGTGTCAGTTGTCCATCTGGATGTCTTTTTTGGAGAAGTGTCTGTTCATGTCTTTAACCCATTTCTTCACTGGATTATTTGTTTTTGGGTGTTGAGTTTTATAAGTTCTTTACAGATTTTGGATATTAACCTTTTATCTGATATGTTATTTGCAAATATCTTCTCCCATTCCATTGGTTTCCTTTTAGTTTTGCTGATTGTTTCCTTTGCTGTGAAGAAGGTTTTATTTTGATGAGGTCCCAATAGTTCATTTTTGCTTTTGTTTCCCTTGCCTCCAGAGATGTGTTGAGTAAGAAGTTGCTGCAGCCAAGGTCACAGAGGTTTTTGCCTCCTTTCTTCTCAAGGATTTTGATGGCTTCCTGTCTTACATTTAGGTCTTTGATCCATGTTGAGTTTATTTTTGTGTATGATGTAAGAAAGCGACCCAGGTTCATTTTTCTGCATGTTGCTGTCCAGTTTTCCCAGCACCAGGGGCTGAAGAGACTGTCTTTATTCCATTGAATCTTCTTTCCGGCTTTGTCAAAGATGAGTTGGCTTACGTTTGTGGGTCCATTTCTGAGTTCTCTATTCTGTTCCCTTGATCTGAGTGTCTGTTCTTGTGCCAGTACCATACTGTCTTGATTACAGCTTTGTAATATGGCTTGAAGTCTGGGATGGTGATGACTCCTGCTTTGGTTTTCTTTTTCAAGATTGCTTTGGCTATTTGGTTTCATACCAAATTTTAGGATTGTTTGTTCTAGCTCTGTGAGGAATGCTGGTGTTATTTTGATACGGATTGCTTTGAATATGTAATTGCTTTGGTTAGTATTGACATTTTACCAATATTCTTCCTATCCAGGAGAATGGAATATTTTTCATTTTTTTGTGTGTGTCTTCTCCAGTTTCCTTCATCAGCTTTCTATAGTTTTCAGTGTATAGATTTTTCACCTCTTTGGTTATGTTTATTCCTAGGTATTTTATGGGTTTTGGTGCAGTTGTAAATGGGATTGATTCCTTGATTTCTCTTTCTGTTGCTTCATTGTTGGTGTATAGGAATTCAACTCATTTCTGTGTATTGATTTTATGATCTGCCACTTTGCTGAATTCCTGGATCAGTTCTAGCAGTTTTTTGGTGGAATCTTTTGGGTTTTCCGTATAGAGTATCATGTCATCTGTGAAGAGTGAAAATTTGACCTCCTCCTGGCCAATTTGGATGCCTTTTATTTCTTTGTGTTGTCTGACTGCTGAGGCTAACACTTCCAATATTATGTTGAATAACAGTGGCAAGAGTGGACATCCTATCTTGTTCCTGACCTTAGGGGGAAAGCTCTCAGTTTTTCCCCATTGAGGATGATATTAGCGTTGGGTCTTTCATATATGGCTTTTATGATCTCGAGGAATGATCCTTCTATCCCTACTTTCCTGAGGGTTTTTATCAAGAAAGGATGCTATATTTTGTCAGATGCTTTCTCTGCATCTATTGAGAGAATCGTGTGGTTCTTTTCCTTTCTTTTATTGATGTGATGAATCACATTGATTGTTTTGTGGATATTGAACCAGCCCTGCATTCCAGGTATAAATCCCACTTGGTCATGGTGAATAATTTTTTGATGTATTGTTGGATCCAGTTGTCTAATAACTTGTTGAGGATGTTTGCATCCATGTTCATCAGGGAGATTAGTCTATAATTCTCTTTCTTCGTGGGGTCTTTGTCTGGTTTAGGAATCAAGGTAATGCTGGCTTCATAGAAAGAGTTTGGAAGTTTTCCTTCCATTTCTATTTTTTGGAACAGCTTCAAGAGAATAGGTGTTAACTCTTCCTTAGATGTTTGGTATGATTCTCCTGGAAAGCCAGCTGGCCGTGAACTCTTGTTTTTGGGAGATTTTTGATTACTAATTTGGTTTCTTTACTGGTTATGGGTCATCTCCCACTACTTTCTACTTGATTAATTTTGTTGTAGCCATTCAGGACTCCTTGCTATTCCATGGACGCCTGTGTTGAACTCATTTCTGCATCAGTTTTTACACTAGTTTTTATTTTGTCTGGAATGCTTTTTTCCCCTCAGAGCTTCCCAAGACTCAATATTTTGCTCTGGTTGATATTTAAGTGTCATTCTTATAAATTCTTTTAATGCGTATGTATTTTTTAGAGAGGGACAGAGTATGAGAAGGGGAGGAGCAGAGACTGAGAGGGAGACAGAGAATCCAAAGCAGGTTTCAGGCTATGAGCTGTCAGCACAGAGCCCCACATGGGGCTTCAGTCCACAAATATTAAGATCATGACTTAACCCAAAGTCAGATGCTCAACTGACTGAGCCATCCAGGCACCCCTATTTAAGTGTGACTTTTAAAGAGCTCCCTTGCCTTTTTAAAGAGTTTAAGTTTATAGCAAAGTTGAGTGAACAGAACAGAGTTGTCATATATCTCCTTTCCTTCTTCCCCTCTCTACTCCAAACATACACAACCTTCTCCCACTATCAACATCCATTCATTGATGCATGCTATAATTGATGAACCTATACTGACTCAAAATATCACCCTTAGTCCATAGTTCACATTAGGGTTCATTCTGGTTAAACATTATGTGTGTTTTGACAAATGTATAATATGACATATGTCCACCATTATAGTATCATATAGAGTAGTTTTATTGTCCTATAAATCTTCTGTGCTCTGCCTTTACATTCCTCCCTCTTCTTAATCCCCTGGCAACCACTGATCTTTCCTACTGTCTCCATTTTTTGCCTTTCCCACTGTATCATTTGGACTCATGTATGTAGCCATTTTAGCTTGACTTCTTTCACTTAGTAATAATGTACATTTAAATTTCCATTATGTCTTTTCATGGCTTGATAGCTCGTTTCTTTTTTTTAATTGTGATTAAAATACAATATAAAATTTAATCTCTAAACATTTTTAAGTGTGTAATTCAGCAGTGTTAACTATATTCACATTGATAAAACAGATCTCTAGAGCATTTTCATCCTGTAAAGCTATGAAACTCTAAACCCATTGAACAACCTCCAGCTCTCCCTTTGTCCATAACCTGACAACCACCATTCTTTCTGTTTCCAGGATTTTGACTACTCTAAATATTTCATATAAGTGGAATCACATAGTATTTGTCTGCTTGTGATGGCTTTTTTCACTCAGCATAATGTCCTCAGGTTTCATTCATGTTGTAGCATGTTCTAGGATTTCCTTTTTTTCCTAAGGCTGAATAATATTCCGTTGTATATATACACCACAATGTCTCTGTCCATTTATTTGTCATGGACATTTGGGCTATTTCTACCTCTTGACTATTGTAAATAATGCTATAATGAACCTGGTGTACAAGTATCTCTTCAAGATGTTATTTTCAATTCTTTTGGATGTATACCCATAAGTGGGAGACCTTGGACTAGAAACCTTGTCTTTGGTCTTCCTGGTCTTAAATAGGCCCCTCATCCCTATCATTTCTCTGCTCAATTTGTATCAATACTTGATATTATATTGTATATTTATGTTTGTCTCTCAAAGTAGAATATTAGTTATATGAAATCAGGAACTTTGTTTTATTTGCTGTTACCTCTTTAGAACTTAGGTTAATGCCTGGTACACCATCGGTAGTTAATAATAAAAATTGGTTGAAGGGATGCATAAATTAGATAAAATGGGAAATTAGAAGTAAATGTGCCTGTATTTAAATATCTTTGCTATTGTTGTTGTCATTGTTGTCATGGTTTGATATTTCTCATCTTTACTTTTCTCCTTTCTGTTTTCAGAATATGAGTGATGCTATGGCAATCTTGCACAAACTACAGACAGGCTTGGATGTAAATGTAAAATTCACTGGTGTTCGAGTGTTCGAATATACACCAGAATGCATAGTATTTGATCTTCTTGATATTCCTTTGTACCATGGGTGGTTAGTGGACCCACAGGTAAGTAGAAAAATTTTAAATATATAAACACAAACGTAGTAAAATTTTATTAATTTGAAAAATCTAGATTCATATGTTGTAATTATTTTAGTGCTTTTACCTGAAATTAGCCAAATTGTGAGGTTAAGGGCATTGTTCTCCATACTGCTAAATCTGTCCAGGACTTCTGACTATAACGTTTAGGAGTTAGGAGTCAACTACAAAGTTGAGTCTATATTCTCACCAACAGTTCTTATTATCTATCTTTTGGATTATAGTCATACTAGTAGGGGTAAAGTTATATCTCATTTTGGATTTGTTTTTATTTCTTTTGGCTAATGATGTTGAGTATCTTTTTTAAAAATTGTTTTTAATGTTTATTTTTGAGAGAGAGAGAGACAGAGTGTGAGTGGAGGAGAGGCAGAGAGAAAGGAGACACAGAATATGAAGCAGGCTCTAGGCTCTGAGCTGTCAGCACAGAGCCCAATGTGGGGATCAACTCATGAACTGTGAGATCATGACCTGAGCGGAAGTCAGACACTTAACTGACTGAGCCACCCAGGTGCCCCTTGAGTATCTTTTCATGTGCTTATTGGCCATTTGTCTATCTTCTTAGGAGAAATAGCTACAGATCCCTTGCCCTTACTTATTTGTTTAGTTTAGTTTATTAATTTAGAGAGAGAGCAAAAGGGAGAGAGAATCTTAAGCAAGCTCTGCACTCTCAACTTAGAGACAGATGCAGGGCTCAGACTTACAAAACATAAACTAAACCTGAGCTGAAATCAAGAGTCAGACCCTTATCCAACTGAGCCACCCAGGTGTCCTCCCTTGCCCATTTTTAATTGGGCTATATGTCTTTTTGTTATTGAGTTGCAAGAGTTCTTTATATACTGTAGGTATAAGTATCTTATTAGAGACATGGTTTGCATACTTTCTCACATTGTGTAGATTGTAGGGGAGGAGCAGAGAGAGAGAATACCAAGCAGGCTCCATACTGTTAATGCAGAGCCCAAAATGGGGCTCAAACCTACCAACCGTGAGATCATGACCTGAGCTGAAATCAAGAGTCTGACACTTAACAGACTGAGCCACCCAGGTGCTGTTGGGTTTTTACTTTCTTGATGGTATTCTTGAAGCACAAAAGTTTTTAATTTTGATAATGTCCAATTTATCTGTTTTTTAAAAAATTTTTTAATGTTTTTATTTATTTCTGAGAGAGACAGCAAAAGCAGGGGAGGGTCGGGGCGCCTGGGTGGCTTAGTCGGTTAAGCGTCCGACTTTCGCTTAGGTCATGATCTCGCGGTTCGTGGGTTCGGGCCCCGCGTCGGGCTCTGTGCTGAC